TCTGGTACCTTGCTGCATATGTGCAAAACACTGCAAGCATTGATTAGATATCACATGCCCCAATTGTCTGGCCAAGATGCAGGCAGTAATCAGGAATTTTTAGAATATTTTTTATTATTCGTCTGACAGCGGCGACGATCGTTGAACACTTTGAAGTGCCAGAGTTAAACTCCTGTGTCCTTCTATGGTGACATGGAGCAGGTATTTTGTAAGGCACTCATGTCCTGTTGGGAATATTCCACAACCAACAATATCTGTATCTGATACAGATCGGAATTGGTCGCTGGTAGCTGGTGTCTCGTTTGTCATACGGTTGGTTTGTTGGTATCAGAGGCCACGAATATGTCGAAAACGGAAAAATAAAAACCTTTGAGACAGTAAAACAGACGCTTTTTCTTTTGGCCTTCATTTTGTTCTGCAGATATGTACGCGTGTTACATTTTCTTTCATTACCCACGTTTGTCATCAACACCATCTTGATGACGGCGTCTCTACCTCCTTGAATATTGATGCTGACAAAATCATTAATGGTTGACGAACGATCGGCTAAAAATAGCGCCTTTTGTTTTTGTCAAAATGTTCTTTCCTGCGTAATATTACTTTACAAATGTAGTACAGTTGTCCTCCCCCATCCTGTCCGTACTTCCAGGTACTTTTATCACAAACGGTCTTGTTTGGGGGTGTTGCTTCGTGGTATTGAATGTGGTGAATTATGAAGTGGCGAGTTGTGTACAATTTGCACACTGAAGTTTTATTTGGAATAAAAGGTGCCAGAATGAAACCAAAAAACCCAACATCAGGTAAAAATAAAAAAATCTGATATGGAGAGGTATTCTGGACGTAATCTTGACTTTGTGCCTCCGAAGCGCTTCTTCGTTGAAGCCGACGCCTTTTCCCCTTTTTTTATGTTGCGAATACGGGTGTTCCACAATAGCGCGCCACCAAGAGATTGCAATGCGTTGACCAATCACAATGCGCGAAATTTGTCGACGCAATGCGCGTTCGGAAAGTGTCGACAAATTACGCGCGCTGTGATTGGCCAACGCATTGCAAACTCATGGTGGCGCGCTACTGTGAATCGCCCCTATTATGAAATCAGCTGCCCTATAATGCGGTAACCGCGGACAGACACAAAGGGACACAACGCTTAACTGCCAGCTTCCCCACCTCTTCTTTTTCGCTAATGATGACTTTATGATCCCCAAAATGGAACTGTTTATTTCTGGCGGTTTGAAGTAGCCTTAACTTTAACTTCACAAAATGCAAACGATTGGGTCGATAAAAACACGAATCCAAATTTCGTACAGATTGTCGAGATTTATCGAACTTAGCTTCGGGGATCATGTACAATGCTTTGAAGCCACGGTCACGAGTTCCTTCGCCTCTACCCTGCCGCTTCGTCACATGGTCCATCCCCTACCTAACGCTCCCCATTGCCCAAGTCTTTGGATTACATTCCTGCCTTTATTTCAGAGTCGGGGCTCTCATGGTGGTGTCATCTTAAACCAATACATACCGGAAGGAGGGAACAAGAGGCCACATTTTGAGAAATCTTTTTTCTTTTGTATAACGATTGATGATGAAGTTCTTGTAAATTCGATGGAGTGACTGTGGTTGTCTTTCCTTCATGTTGTTGCAAGAACCACCGATTGCATCATTACAGAATAATCACCAAGGTCTTCCACGTTAGTCGATGATGCCAAGTGTCTAACAACCGGTGTTTCTGTCTCTAAGCAACCGCAAAGTGATGCGTATACTGTCGAAGGTTGCGAGTGCAAAGTCGTTTTATTTGGCGACTAGACCCGCCAGAAGCTGTCTTGGTAACCTTAATGGCATAGTTTTCTCAGTAACATGGGTAAGTTTCAGTTTGTATACAGTACGCGTATTCTGTATAAAAAGAGTGTAAATAACCGCTTTTTTATTAAAAATGTTTTTATTAAAATGATTTATAAATAACACCCAAGAGATACTTGAATTACTGTGACTGCATTCAGTTAACGCAAGTACAGTCTTGGAAGTCTTTTCCGTTTTGGTCGTTTACAGAGTTGGTTGCCCGTCTATTTGCTGTAATGTGCTCGATGCATTGCACTGGTGAGTTTGTTATTGATAAGCAGTTATAGTTTCATTATGTTTGAACGAAAAAAAACTGGCAGTCTCTTGAGGATAAACTCTGTACAATTTCATTTGGGAAAAAAATTGGAAAAAAATGAGTGCTTGATTAGTTCATGTAGATTGTATAGGTAGGCCTACAGTGACAGAAACCTTACCAGAATCATTATGAGAGATTCATTTGCACATTAAAGCATTGAGTATTTATATAAAGATTATGAGGACGTTGATCAGGCCCGGCCCCGTTTCAGGCGAATTTGGAACAAAATTGTCAGGACAAAATTGTTTTGGGGGACAACATTATTTTGTATGGCCTTTCTGAAGGGTAGGGCTATTTGGGGGCTTTTTATGCACGTTTTGAAGGAAGAGAAATGAAAAACACCCCCAAAATTCTCATTTCATAATATCATTAAAAATGATACAAAAATGGGGGTTCTTTTTGGGTACAATAGCCCCCATCCCATCCTCAGCTTTGTCCTGCTTATGAATGTTTGCGCTCCACACGACCTGCTGGTGTTCTGGAGATCCCTCACCAACAAGTTTTGAAAAGACATAATAAAGGCAATTCAGCAAGTCTTTGTACTAGCTGAGATGCAGAGTGCTTCCAATTCGTTTTTATGTAAATTATGGCTAGGGTTATCAATATTTTCTGTTAATTCCTTTCAATGTTAAATTCAATCGTAATTTCTACGATTTTTGTATACTTGTGAGTTTCGTGAATCCCTAGGTCTGATGGTTAAACAACCACGGATCGATGGAAACAGTCTCTGCAAAAATTACAAATCACATGGACTGCGTTTTGTTTTGTTTTGTTTTGGGGGGGGGTCATCAGTGTTGACAGTTTAGTTTAGTTTAAAAATAACTTGATTCGTGATTCATTTCATACCCCAGCCTGTTTTCGTTGAAGCTGGTAAGATTTCCCCACCCCTGTTTTAGTTAAGTGATCAACCTTCAGTTTTTCCCCCAAAATCTTCAACAAACAACAAAATATCTGGATTTCGGTAATTTTGTCTTTGTAGATTTTTGTAATAATGTATATTTATGCTTATAAATGATTAGTCATCACATCCTTCTCCAGAATCGTAGCTGCCCATTTCCATTTATTCGCGTGCGAAGTTATTGCTGAAATGAGTCTATAGCAATTTACTTGCATTGAAGACTGCTAAGTATTAAGCGATGTTGAAATCTGTCTCTACTTGTCACCTCGTGGAAATGTTGGTCAACATCAACATCACATTCCCGCAGTAGTCCAAATATTATGGCTTCCATGAAGAAACTAAGATCTCAGATCGAAGCTGTCCTTCAAAGGTTGAACACTCCTGTCAGATAAAACATAGGTGACATTCTAAAGACGTGACTTTTAAATGGTGGTAAAACTTGTATTGGTGGATATTTGGTGTATAGGTATCGTGATGGCTCAATTTTCTGATCTTAGCGGAGATCTCACGGATCTTGGTGATATCTTGGAAGGTCTAAATTTGGGTGACCTCGATATCTTCGGCACAGCTGGGGAGGGGCCGAATGAAGTCAAGCGGGAGAAAGGTAAACTGAAAGTAGAAGAAACTTTGCTTTCAAATGTCACTGTATGCAACTTTGAAAAACAAAAAAAATTAAATGAGAAAGCTTTGAATAAGGATACAACCTTCCTTCCGATTAAACGTAACACACGAAAAAAAATCAGCTTGACCATCTCTTATCTCAGCGACTATTTTATTTTGAATGCTTGTAATAAGAGCGTTTCATACATGTACACGTAGCATTGTAACTTTTAATGAACTATCTGTCGGCCCACAGAAGCGCCAGTAAGAAATTGTAAGCCTATTGCCTTTGGACGTATCTTTACCAGGATTTACTTCTGATATCATTTCAACCATTTGGTTTTGTCACAGCTGACCCTCTGACGTGCTACGAGTGTAGTGAGTTCAGTGAACCCATCAAAAACAGTCGCGAGTTGGCCTGGTCTTGCGCCATTCCTTCCAAGACCACACTCAATGGGTCTGTCTGTATGGCGCCACCCTCGGGTTATGTTAATCGTTGCGGCTGGATAGAGGCCACGGTTTCTTCTCCAAATCCCGACAATCAAGGTATTTAGACACTGTAGCCCAGATTTAGGACGCGGTCAGTGATGTTTTCCCAATTACATAAATTCGATATTTTTTACGCTTGAATTTGTCCTCATGTGGAATCTTTATTATAACATGTTGAAGAAACAATTGGCGAAATGCCTATACATCAAAATGTAAATAAAAGGTCATTACACTGAATGATCCATTTCGGGTTTCATGCTACCCGTTTGAAAAGGATTTGATTTTTACTTCAGGAAACTCAGCAGGCAAACCCCTTTTTTCATCGGTGAGATAAAAACACGGAAGGGATTTTGTTCCCGAGCAAGCCAGAGGCGGAACAGACAAAGCAAGTGTATAACGCGGAGTCCAAATGTTGAATTCTGGACTGAGTTTAAACCAAGAATTTTCCTTTGTCTTTCGTACTTTGTATCATTTTACATACATGTATTTCGGTGGGTTTATCCCGATCTGCAAATCATTAAATCGTTATGTACACTTGTAGATGAACCGGCATATTATGGCAGTGTTTCACTCAAAAGTCTCTCTCTAAGAGATTTCCATAGCCACGTCTTGTTATTTTCCTTCTCTTTCCCAGAGGAAACTTTGGAATTGTACTGGATCTTCAGGTCTTGTGTACTAGTTCCTGAATCTTTGGGGATTGGCGACGATTGTTTCTCTGGAGACCTGGAGGACACGCAGAATAATCTGGGTCTTTCAATCGAAAAGGTATTTTACATGAAATCTAAACTGGCCTATCTATATACTTTCAAATCAGTATGCCGGGCTGTCATGTGATGGTACCTCTTTTCAGAAACACGACAGAGCATTTAAGTTCCTATGTTGTACTATCTAATTTCATATTTAGAAAAAAAACGGAAACTGTGAAATTTGCATCCTTCTATAGCGCTGTAGAATTTGAATTACCTTCATGCACCTCAATTCAAGATAGAAGGGAACATTTTGCACCTCAATTCAAGATAGATGGGAACATTTTTGTTCATATTGTGCATATCATACAGTTTTTATAAAGCCAATTGTGTGAATTTTCAAACTTTTCCCCTTTTTCATTTTTAGATTGTGGGTGTCAGTGGTACCATTAGCGGCGAAGGTTGCTTCTGCAGCAAAGACTACTGTAATGGGGTCTCTACCGTTAGATTCCAGACTGTTGGCGCCATATTGGGTGTGGCAACGATAGTGCAAAGCGTTATTTATTAGTGGCAATAAATGCACAGTATAGTGTTAATTCAAACCTGATACATCGGTTTTTGAGTGAAAGGTAGTCAAAAAATCACGGTAATGTGTTCTGAAAACTGCACTTTATACAGTCTTTGTTTTCTATTATTAAAAAGCCATGTTTTGTCATAAACGTTAGAGGTATATTAATTAATGCAAGTAAGTTGTGAAATGCATAATTGACTTCGCTTTGGCGTTCACGGACAATGCAGAGATACAGATGCCGGGTAATTTTGCCTGATAACAATATTTGCTTGGCGCCTAAAATTCACCTCAGATCTCAGATTCAGCTTGTAACGAGGATATTTTTTGCTCTTTTGTGTAACTAAGCCATGTTTATGTGCCAACCTAGGATACGTTCTCCTGAACTCGCAGTTCATTATCTGGTTATATATCGGGCATCATGTGCCTTTTCTTGAAGAAACTTGTCTGACACCATACTTTTCTCATTGTATAATCATGACGTTTGTGTAACCATTAATTCTGCAAGTTACAAGAATGCTTCCTAACATGTACAAGAGACGGACAAATTATACCAATGATGGACAACACCAACCTTGTAATTCTAAACCATTATATCAGCAGTGATACTCACTAATCTTTCTGTAACTACCCCCCTCTTGTGAGCAGCATCTAAAAAGGTCATGCTATGCCCACATCATTTTCAACATGTATGCTGATATTTTGTACTGACGACCATTGCGGATGACTACGCAAAATATAGCCCGTGTACCCCCTCCCATCTGCTCTGATTCTGTTTTCCCCTCCATCTATGGTTTGACCTGTGTCGAAGTCCAGAAGGCTGTACAAGGTCAGGACCCCTTCAAATAAATATTGTAATTGCGTAGCACTATTATTAACAAGTGCATGTATCGATCGCAGTTGGTTGTTTGGCCTGCAAACGGTTGTCCTGTTGATGAGGATAGAAAACTGCCTCCTTTATGATAACAGGCGTGTGGAACAGGTCTTTGATTCATGCGGGCTCTTGATGAAAAGACAGATTACTTGAAGCGATGGAGTACTACTATAGCACAACTTATCAGCAAAGATTTGAGCTTTAATTCGGACGATACGTCAGCTCGCTCTATGCTACATGTATATACATTTACTCGAGAATTCCTTGCAGGGATCAAAATTTGTCAATGCAGATTCTACATGGTCAAATGCTTTACCGTCAGGACTTTAATGAACTTCGGCTTGTAGCTGTATATCATCATAAACAATTGCTAAATACTTCGAGTGAAATCACCTTAACAAAATCAGAACAGGAAGGAAGACCATAAACGAACCTTACATTCAAAGCTCCATCTCTTTTTGTAAATTGTAATCAAACGCCTCCGCACCATACAACCCCATGGCCTGAATATCCAAGAGGAAACTGCTATCCTTTCTTCTCCTAGCTTTTGTGTGGAATTACATGCACACCCCCTTTTGGGGTCCAGTTCATTCCATTGTATGTTTTCTTTGATCTTTTCCTTCCTTAGATCCCTTTGTTGCTCAAGCATGCCTTTCAAGCAGTCCGCTACCCCTTGCCTCTTCATCCAACTCACTGCAGCCTACTTGACCTTTTCTTTTGTTCGCCTGCATTCGTCCATGCTTGGTTGATTCCCCTTTTGCTTGTTTGCCCCTTGTCATTTTGCCTTTAAGACAGATTCTGCGAGATCGAAACATGAGGGCCTCCATATTTTGTGTTTTTGGTAATCTTGTTCGAAATCAATTTCATCGAGCTTGCGATTCGCATTCTGTGTCAGGACTTTAGAAAGATCTTTGTTTATATGCACAGACAAGATTGAACATAATGTAGTGGGGTACCGGCCACAGTTTTGTGTATAGAGCTTATTGTACATTCGTAAAAATGAAGACACGGTTTTAACAATGGTGTCATTACTTGCGCGGTCTTGTACTGATCGCAAAGCCTTGAAAATATGCCTTATAAATATTTAAGTATCCTTACCATTATGTTGATTTTTATATTTAGTGCTGTTTGCGACATAATCAATTATTGCTTTGTATTTTGATTTACTGTTGAACTTGTTTTAGATAATATAGGACCACAAGGTACAAGTTAAACAAAATTTCAAACTCCTTGAAAGAAATATTCAGGAGAGTTCGTCTACTATTTAATGCTGTGTAACACCATTTCAATTTCCCTTGCTGCGACCTTGCAAATTTGGTATCCACTTTTAAGGTTTTTTTTTTTCATTTACGTATATAGCAACAATTGAATAATAGGGAATATACAGGGGATTGAAGAGAGATAAGCCTCACTTAGCCTTGATCAAGGCGTTTGCCATCAGTCGCAATGAACTACATAGCGGTCCACAGCCTTCTACAATATTCGTTGAATAACCGTACTATTGCTCTCATGCCAGGGGAAAATTGTTGTTTCGATTGAATATTCTTTATTTTCGTTTATAGGGATTTTATTACTTGATGACAGTCTTTTATGACTTGAATTCAATTGCTTCTACGTATCATTTAAATCTCATTTTTTATTATTTATTTGAATATGTTTCTTTTTTTTCATTACTGTATTATGTAATACCCGACATTAACTGACTACTTTTGTTTAAACATTAGAGATGCAATTAAAAAAGTCTAAGTGAATCCCTTATTGTACTTCGTTCCAGTGCAAGGACATCAGGTTGTTTTTATTATTTATTTGTTTTTATAATTATTGTGTTTTTTTTTAATTGGTGTTTTAGCCTCTGAAAACAAAAACCTGCCCAATTTTTAGAACTGTACAGAATACCCCCCAAGTTCTCGGAATTCCCTTGGAAATATGCATGGTTTGTTAAACACGATTGATTGCTCGCTTAATACCTCTTCATTCATAAAACGCAGAAATAGTAGCACAGAATCAGATGTAGCAGCGGTACCCGGTTGAAACATCCACAAAGGTACCCGCTGCTACATCTGATTCGAACCAGCCGGCCAACGCCAGCAAGCTCAATGGTCGAGTGGTTAAGACGTCTGCACTAGTAAGCAGGAAGTCGTGGGATTGAGTCCCAGCCGAGTACGCTCGTGTTTTTTCACAAGCCTTCGAGGGCATACACTGAGCATACACTTGTTATTAGAGCACTCATTTTTGAAGGAGCGCTCAATGGGCTTGGTCACACCCACAAAGGCAGACAATCAATATCCTTCTGTAATTTCTGAGCAGGGCCTCGAGCTGGAGGGAGGGTCAGCCCTCATGCCTCCCTTGATTACGTTACTGTTCATATACTACTACTAAATTCGCAGGGTTGGCTCAAACTAAAAGGTTTGGATGAAGCATGGATGAATCTTGGGACTTATCTGGAGTATTCAAACTAGGGTTCTGATTGGGTGATATGTACCTTAATCCACGTACGGGATGAGTGTATAATGCGCTTGAAATTAGCACTGGTGAAATAAGCTGAAGTAGTTGTTTCGTATGTTCCTCAAATGGATAAAAATTGACCAAATGGTTCACGGCAATCATTAAGGATACATGATTCCTCGTGATGTTTAAGTTGAAGTTGGGCTGATGCGAGAAAATACATTTACCTGTTTAAAAACCAATGTAAGGTTATATTGTGTACAGCGGTGAGTTCCCGGCTGTATCTAGCGCATCGACTGACCCCCCCCCCTCACCATTAACGATGCAGCTGAAGATTTCTGAATTTTAGAATTACACTGTCATTAATCACTCCATGCCGTTCCATAATTAGGATGTTCGTGTGCCTAGAAGAGCGTGTCCCAACCATGGGCGTCGCTAGGAATATTTCCGGTGGGCCCGGGGTGAGGCACTCTAACAAGGGGTGTAAAACTCTCGTCGGCGATGAACTGATAAACCATAAACAGGGGGAGGTGTTAATTTTGATTTTTTTCAAGCAAATTGGTGATTTTCGTCAAAAATCATCTTTTCCCGCATTTTAACGGATTTGCCTATTACGTTTTTCTTTTTCTTTTTATTTCCGCGGGGACAAGCGCTACCTAGACCCATTAGCAATGCCCATGGCCCTATCCCATAATTCATCATTTTCAAGTCACCTCAACAAGAAATGGAAAAACAACAAATATAACATTATAGCGCGTCTCTCCTCGAACGATAATCATAATGGCTTGGTACTCCATCAGTGGAAACCGCTGTTTATTTTTTATTCTACTTCAGCGATGTTATGAAGCATACTAGCCAATTGCTATCTCTTTTAAATTTGTTTTCATGTTCTTTAATGAAATAGCAATTGCATGTCTACCGAATCTTACTAACATAATGCAATAAAAGGCATACTTTACAGACGTTTTTGTGAAGCGTAACCATTTTTCCTTTCACAAAAGTCATCTATACTTTTGGCATAAACTTTACAGCCGCCATGCATCTATAGAGATATAATAGCATCATTTGCTACCACATCTCATGCCTTTAATAATTCCATGGCTATTATATCGATTTACGGTCTTCGTTTCTCATCCAAGAGGACAGCAATGATAGGCTGACAATAACAATACTCATAGGGTCTTGGTTTACACGGCGTGCCGTGATAAGGACACATTAATTAGCAGATGTCACGTGGCTTATCACTAGCCAGAGTTCCTGTCATGTGTGTATAGCTTCGAAATGAGTTTTTTTTTTACAGACAATGGTGAATCCAAAAGGACCAAATCGGACCATGATTCTCCCTGCTTAGAAAAGAGGCCACCTAGCCCCAAAATGTAGCCTCAACCCTCAGACAGAAATAAAAATCAGATTTCAATTTTTTCGCCTTCCATAAGAACACATTCCCTCCCCCGCAAAAAAAAGGTTCACAATCAGTCCTTGTTCTCAGATTGGAGATATTCTTCGTTTGATTATGACGTATTTTGGGGTTTAGATGAATCGTAATAATTTATAGCAGGATAGCAAATAATCCGAATAACAATAAAATTATGAACACGCCATTTGTTCAGTTCGATATACGAAGGTCATAAATTGCAAAGTTTCACACCTTCAATAAAAGGGGTACAATGATTCCTCGATAGTGCGAATGGATGGCGGGGCACCAGGAGGCTCAAAACATCCAAAATCGATGGCACCAATGCAATTTGAATTCTGAATTAATCAATATTTGCCACGGACAAATATATATATCACACAGTGGCAGAATGTTTTACTCGTTCAATTTGAAGTGACATCAGTACACGCACTCAGGAAGTAACGTGGTGGAAATCACAAGAAATCGAAGGAAATAATAATCTCGAGAGGTTCAATCAAACGAAGTGCCTGCTCTTGCTGTGTAAAAACAACGAACAAAGATGGGTGAGTTAGTGTTTACAATCACTCTAAGTTAATTTTGAATTCCCTAATTTCCACAATGTTTGCATGTGTAGTTCTTTCGTTAGAGCCATTAACATAATGAATCTTCCATAATCAATCATGAATAATAGGCTGGATTTGGGCTAAGAGGACGCAGCGACCATTAATTCAACAAGAAAGACCCCTAAAACGACTTAGATGTTTTGTTCTTAGCAACCTAATGTTGAATGGCCTCGGAAGTCTTTCGAACAGTGATGATAATTATAAAACAGTAAATGAAATATAAACATCATTGTCAGCGCTGGTTTGATTTATAAGTACACCCTATAACAACTGCTGGGCTGAAAAAAATAGCAGGACGAGTGATTTGTATTCCAAACGACCTGCACATTTTGAACGAAATGTGAAATATAACGATTTTTATCATTACAGGCCTCATCCAGATTTCTCTTCTGATTGTGATCTTCGCCGTGAATCTACAAAATGGTAGGATGGACACCTAATGTCACTAAAGATGTCACTCTCGTTACTTTATGACGCAATTGTGCGACAAAAACACAACTGCATCTTGCACGTATGCATTGTCAACTTACGCAGTGGGCACGCGCCGTTCCACACTTCAATTTTAACATAGTTATTCCTATACGGGGAGTCCAGCAAAAAAGCAATTTACAAGCGCTGTCACTATGAGAAGCCGCAATAGGTTCTGCTGTTTGACATCACGGTCTTGTTTTTTCTACAAGTGGTTGCGAAAACTAAAAACAAGTGGCTGACCATCAGTACAAAAGTCGAAGAATAATTCCAATGTTAAAAATCCCAAGCAGCCATTGGAACAGCAGACAATAATACACGTACTTCTGAATACTAAATGAAAACACAACCCTTTTTACAATTCGTGAGACAAAATTAATGTTCTTTTTGAAGGACTTTGAGATCAAATATAAAAATAATTTAGAAAGGGTGTTTCTTCTGAATTCTTTGGCCGCCCATACAAATGGTAGACAAAATGAGAGTGGTCTATATTTTGGACACATAAAGTGCATCATAAATAAAATGCACTAGGGCTTAAGTTTTATTTGGCACCAATTCCTTAGTGTGACGGACACAGGAAAATGCCACACCACATTGACGGATATAATTATTCGTGCTCCACTAATGAAGGATAAACTATGCCAATTTCTTCAGATCTGGTTCGAGGGGCAGTAAGTAACGAACATATGCAATATATATTGCTCGTGTTGAATAAACCTTTATTAAAGCCCCTTTTTCAAAGGAAATGCAAAGCGAGTAATTTTTGTTATGTTGTTCATCACTCATTATTTCAAACGTGGCAATTGTCATTTTGCACCATTTCAGTTAAATAATCCTTGTTCTGTCCAGCGGTTGATCCAAACATAAAACGTAAGCTCTTTACATCTTATTATACAAAATTCATGGGCCTAAAATATTGTGGCTTCTCACGGTAAAGATTTCTGTAACTGTTGCGGAACACCCCGTGTTTCCTACTGAAATGCGTCAGTACTTTTTAAGCAAATACCCATTAAGATAACAAGAAAGGGTTGAATAATGCAGCCAAAATTAAACTAAATTTTGTCATGCGAACACCGAATAATATTGCCTTATGCATATGTTCGCTCAAATCTTTGTTTCCCTAGAAATGCCTTAAATCGATCAATTAGAAATTCCTTTGCAGACACACTTGCAAGCAACAACTGCATAATGCAATCCTTGTTCATTTCTTACAGGATCTGCTGAGCACTGCGTGCAGTGCGTTCACCTAGACTTCTTTCCACATGCTCCTCGTCGATTCCCAAATATGTACAAGAACATACACTGCAAGAACTATCACCCATGGGTCTTGAAGGAAAACAGTGACGACTGCCCAGATGACAACAAAGACTACGTGTGCGGGACCGTCAAGGGAAATTACACATTTGATTCCCTATCAGGTAGCTAGATTGATCTTTTGGAGTTCCCTTGCACAAAATGTTAAGCGATCTTCAAGCCTTTCGCCCTCGCTATCACAGAGGGTCAGTTTATTGGAAATGTTCTGCAGCATCCGTCCAATTTTAAAATTTTTTTTATTTTTCTTATCCGTCATCGTATCTTTTTTAAAAACGTGAAGTAGAGAGCATAATTGGCTCATGACTTGCGGTGTTAGGGATATATACGACGGCATGCAATTAAAAAATGATTCCACTGAAAAAAGTGTATCTATTAAATCTTTACTGTCTGTGTTGTTCTTTAACTGTCTGTCTTCTCACTCGGTTGATATGATGATTGAGATTTCGGTTTCCCTCGTCACGCATTTAGCCATTACATTAAATGAGTGCTGTATAATACACGGGATAAATGGGCCGGGAACGAAACGATTAGTAACTCAGAGTACTGCTTCGAGTACTTGTCAATTCTTTCTGATTAACCCTTTTATACAGTGGGTGAGATCACTGTAGATGCCATCGTACGTCGTTGCGTGGTCCCACCTCAGGGTTTGACTGATCTTGACTCAGGCAAGAGTGTTTGTCTGAAGGGAAACACCCTTGATAAGGCAACTAATGACATCCAGCTGGTTGGAGCAACCCCGGATTTCGGTGATATGACTAAATTCGATGGACAGGTATGAAACCAACACGCAGATGTTTAACTGCGCGCAATTTTATCCCGACAAAGGCGGCAGTTATTGATTTTACTTTGCGCAAACTCTTCTTGAACTCTCCAAGTCACAAATTAAGATCCACAAGGTAAACCAACGCGCTCTCAAATCTCTTATGAAGAAGACAATATTAAAAAGGACAATTTTTCGGTAAAGGGAGGGAGAGACTGTATGAATTAAAGGCTTTTAAATGCAAAGACTGCTCCAATCCTCATGCATAACCCTGTTTTGATCAGTTCAGTTGCTTCACTTTTATGACAGGTGTGCTACTGCCGTGGAAATAAGTGCAATGCAGCTAACTCTCTTGGAAACAACGCAGTGCTGGTGAGCATTCTCGCAGCAACGCTCGCTGCCTTGAGCATGTAAACTGAAGCGGAGGCTCTGATTGGCGATACCTGAGCTTTGTATTAATTAAGAGCCTCTCATTTGCTAGTTAAATTTGAATAAAATCTGGTACATTGAGTTATCTGATTGCACATAAACACAACAATTTGAATTCCCCAGACTAAAGACGCTGTTGCTTTACCACGTGATTCGGGGCAAGCTTTTGCTAAGCGACCACCATCTCTTGAATGGACTGCTTCCTTTGTGCCCTTCTTTTCCATTGAGAACAGTGTATTGTTGCAAGCGTCTCTTATGTACCTAAGGAAGGTTTGCCCCGAATCACGAGGTACATATGCAGCAAGGTATGAGACGGAGAGAACCCCCCCCCCTGCTTTGTGTTGGTCATTGTCTCTCAGGAAACTAGGGAATTCCTTTCAGACATCTTGGGGGGGGGTGATGTGTTAAGTAACAATGGTCTGGAATGAGTATAGGGATTGGACATGTTGGCGGGGTACCCCTCGGTCTCATTTTTGCTGGGTATAACGAGGTATAGCAAAAGAGGCTTTAGTATGGAGAATTCCAATTGTTATGATCACGTGAATGTAAAGAACTCAGTGTACCAGATTTTATTCAAATTTAACTCGCAAAAGGCTTATTGTTGGAACCAAAACCATTCGTTATATGCGTTAGTGCACGTGGACAATTTGCAGCAGTGGCTGCATATTGTACTGCACCTATAATGATCTTATCCATTTTGGTTACAAAGTCTAAAGTTAGCGTTGCACTCTAGAGCCCTTGCCGGTACTAAGGTGGAAGCTTCAACAAGAAATCTCAATATTTTACTGTGGACAACAAATTTACTTGTCGCTTACGTAGTCGTAATTCCACGCGGAAATTCAGCTTGTAGTACTGTGAGGGACTGTTGTAGCTTACTTTTATTGTGCTTCAATTGAAGTGATGACCATTTCTTGTAATTAAATCACCCAGACTTAAGAAGCGTATATTTTACTTCGAGCATATACCACTCTTCGTTATCAAATCCTAAAAATGGAGTCATTAATCATGATAAAGGCGCCCTATACTACTGATAACCAAATGAAATGGCGACTTATTGCAAATTTAATAGATCATAACTTATTTCGTGACTGAGTCCATGCTCTGTCTACCCATAGTTCATTTGTTCTCTTTGTTTTAAATGAATTTAAATGGTAATCTAGCTAGTACTCGAAGTTTACAATCATAAAATTGGTTATAAAATAGTGATGGCAAAGGCTGTTTTAAAATGCTTTTAATGACTCCATCGGTGGGAATTAATTAGATCATAATTGGTATCTTTTTATTGTTGAGGTGTAATCTTTTATTTATGGTCTTTTTTCATTTCCACCTGCGAAATAAAGTCTTAGCCATTTTTATTTTGGGGCGGTAATTTTGTAATAGCTTTCATGTCAGGCTGGAGTATTGTAAAATAAAATGGATCGGTTTGAGGAATGGAACGTCTGATATGTCTTAAATTAGGCTATGTTGGGCTGATTTTAGCAACCATTATAAGCTTGTCTTGTTGACACTCGCTCTGATCTATCCCACAGACAAATAAACGCACAGACCGCCATATCGCATTCAAAAGTAATAATCTTTTCTTAATCTTTGGGGCTTTCGACTAAAATAAAAATTATGGGCAAATTCATCCCTCGGTACAGGGAATTCAATTTACGCACAGGTGAAGAATTCCAGCTATAAAATTGTACGAAGTCATTTTCGATTGTGAAGCAAATTCTCTTTGTAAAAGAAAATTAAGACAGCAGTACCGAAGAGCAAAACTTATTTTGGGAGCACATTTGGGAGCACTGAACGGAAAAAAATCTTCAAAAGTCATTGGTTAATGAACAGAAATTCAAAAAGAAAATGGAAAATCATAAAATGGGTTTAAATTATCAAAAGCCTGAGAAACTTCTGAGCATTTTCCAGATATTTTTTTGTTTTTGTTTTCAAGTTCATATGGTGTTTATCACCGTTGGCTCTGCCAGCCGTTTACTTTCTGGCCCGGAACC